AAATCGATACCAAACATTTCAAATTCAACGAACAGGCATCACGACCCAAAAATGTTCTGGTCGACAGTCCTGTTCTAATGTTGAATTTCGTATTTTCGTGCATCCGAATGTGTTCGCTAATTCAATCGTTCAAGTAATAGCGCTCTTCATGACACCATCCCCGAGTCGCGACCATAAGGACCAATAGGTGAATACATTATCAGAGCCAGATACATACTTTACTCTAATTCTTCAAAGTAACAGAAATATTGAAACATGAAACGGTGTTCGAAGTCTCGTCATTTTTCGGATCCAGTACAAGAAACGAAATTCTTACGTACTTATTCAGTTTCAAATCATGGAAATTTCCAAAATTTTTCTCAGTTTATCTACGCTAATTCAGCAAAATTGGCGTAGTACAGCACAACTCTTCAGAAAAGTTACTGATTTTAAATACATCGTACACTATTCATACTGAAAATATTCACTGGAGAAACTGTTGATTCAGAGTTCATCATTCATTTTTCAATCCGGATGGGATCCAGATCTTACTTGTCCATTGAAGGTATTTTTGATCGAATCGATTTCACTTGCTCGTAGAGCGTCGTAATCTCCGAAAGAAACGCCTCCCCGAAAAACCACAACGCGTTTCGGGTAAGATTTGTTGGCTTCCCGGTATCTCTTCATAACATCTGCAAATCGAATACCAAAGGCATTTGTATTACTGTCAAGGCAACAAAAATTGGAACCTTGAGCTACAGCACGGGCAAAATCATAAATGTAAGTATGTAACGCTTTGAAAATTATCGTCGCCACTAAGTTAGGAAAGCATTTAAGAAAGAGATTAATGAATGAGCCGTCAAAACCCATTGAACTTTTGAAAAGCCGCCTCGGGAAACCCTTTCAAAACGCCATCCGCCAAAACTATCGACACAAATACCCCGCTGTCAATGTCGTCTTCGATAATCCGCCGACAAGGTTCAAGTTTCCATGAGCGGTTTCGCATTGAAAAGGCATCATTTACTTCTCGGATATAGTAGATAGATAAAAGTTACGACATCGTGGGTTGTTTCGATTCTTTTCAGACGGGGAATTCTGCCTTTTATCGAACTTGATTCCTTCAACATCTAAATGGCCAGAAATAAATGTGGCGACTTGTCTAGGCTTGACTTTTTATTGCCACAGCCCGATGAAAAATTTTCATCGACGGCAAATTCAACGTGACTTAGGGTTAAGATATTTTAGCCCCATCCAACGCATAATGCAATACTTGATTACATTGAGTGAGTCGCTTCATCACACCTCGTTGCAAAGCGTCCCAAAAAGGAAACTTTATCATAAAAAAATCTAGAAATGGTATTTGGGAATATGCTCACGTTCGAAACATTGCGACAAATGAGGCGAGATTCTATCGCTCGTCCTCGTTTCGGTAACACGAGAATCCGAAGTGAACTTCAGGAAGTCCTTGTCGAGCGCCGCCACCAAAGCACTCACTGACGTCTGAGCGCGCTTCTCCTTGTACACGTCGAAGCCGATGACCAGCGTACCACTTTCGCTCGTCACGAGTTTCCATGGGGCTCCACCCAACTTGCAATTGATCTGATGCGCTACTTTCGTGAGCGCACTCAACCCCTTACCAACGGTACTTTCTTGGACCACTTGATTTGGCACTGCAACGATGGAGAAATCATGAAATCGCGAATCGTTTCAACAATGTACCGAAAATTCCAAAAAGTGGAGATAACCACACATGCTGCTTCTCCAAAAATTGGGTTCAAAAATGAGACACGCGAGAAGCTTCAGCGTACTTCTCTACTGCTAATTTGGTTCACCTCTGGTGCGTGTAATGAACACCGTCAGCAGTCACAGGGAAGTAGATGTTCAAGGATTGCTGATATCAAAGTTGCACAACAAAACGAACGGGAAGGAAAAGCGTACTAACCTCCGTTGTCCACCATGAGACAACGTTTAACGGCTTGATAGCGGGCCTCGTCCGCACTTGGAACGAATATCAAGACAAATTGTGGCCTCGTTTGAACAACTTTTTGCAAAGTGGATGAGAAGGCGTGAGCCGCATCGCCTCTCGTCCTTTCCCTGAAGAAAATTAAGATTAATGCATTACAACAAGGAAGGAATAACAAAAATTAGCCTTCGGTAGAATCTTCTGCAGAAGAAAAATGGATACTTTTGAACTTACATAGTGTGCTTCCCGACGTCCATACCAAGTTCACGCATCAAGTTTGTCAAGCTCCTCACCGGGTCGTCCACCCTGGTATATCGATCCGTGGCTACTACAACCCACTCCTTCAAACTCACCGCAATCTCAGCCCTGGACTCTGCGGAAACGATCAATTTCACCAATACAAACACATTGACAATCACAATAACAATTGCAGGGACTCACGGCGAAGACAATTCTGGAAGCTTGAATTTTGAATATTAATGGTTCTGCTGCTCATGGACAGTCCAACCATCGGAAGCTCACGAGCTTCAACTTCAGCGACATCCGGGGAAATTTCAAACCCCCATCTCGTGGTTATCTCTTCGTTTATCTGCGAATTGATTGAATTTTTTTTCATTGAGGGTTAGTTCGTACAGTATACCATAAAATCAGATAATATACTGTACTGTAATATACTTAACAGAATTGAAATACAAGAAGTTACAAATACCGAAGGTTTCAAAGAGCTGGAAAGAAGCATCTTGAACATCACTTACGCAAAGAGGTAACTACGCTTATATCGAGAAGCTCAGATTCTGAGCTAACTACAAAATATACAGAATATGAGACATCAAAACTGACACAGAAGGGCAGCATTAAATAAACGTACGGAAAATCAGCGAATTGCTCGAAGCTTGCATTCGCATCCAAGCCAACAACGGGTCTCATCCGAAAACATCAACAGTAAATCAACTTAGACCCTAGATGTGAGTACTGTATTTCAATGACAATACAGTCCTCACATTCAAGTGATTCAACCATCAAAAAATTTGAGTACTGTACCAATCATTCCCAAACAAATTTAAAAGAGCGCAAGATGAAAAGACGACTCTCACCTTCTCGTGAGCCTTGATGCGATCCAAGAAACGCTGAACGTCTTTGACACGAGTGTCGGGATTCTTGCGGAATTTCGTCGCCATATTTCGGCGCTGCTGATCCGTAACACTGGAAAATTGCATTACGTTTCTAGAACGGATCAGGCCAAAATTTCATTTTCCGACATACTTCATCGTTTCATCAAGCGAAGTGAAGTAGCACATTTCGGGAACTAAAGTCATCTCTTTGCGCGGGGCGTCTTTCATGTTCGGATTCATCTTACGTCGCAAATCCTTTTCAGTGCTAACCGCCTTGACCAAGCGCTGGTGCAGATCAGTAATTTTCGCGAACCTGTCGTTTGCGTAATTCTGACGGAATACAAAAATGCGAAAGTAAGCCCATAGTTCACAAAGGCGAGTACTAGGCACGGATACATTTCAAAATTAGCTTTGCTCGTTGGTTAAATCACGATCAATCAATGCTTCATCTTGAAAGATGAGTTCCCAGAAATACCGGATTGGAAGTTTTAGTTGTATAAGATGTGACCTAAACATGCAGCCGAAGATCTTCCAACAAAACTGAGTTTTACATCGTGGAATACATTTGAAGAATAAAATGCATCAACAGTTAACTTCTAGAACCTCCACAAACCATTCATGAATCTGAGGAACCATAACACGGCGAACGGGTTGTACAGTTCTTTACTTTTTATCTTGGGCAAAAAACTGAAAATGCGGATCCGGGTGTACCAGTGTTAAAGAGACATTAGAAGATCCAAATTGATTCAACGTTGCTTTCTCCACGATGGATATTGGACCGAGTCCGGCAATAATTAATACGTGGTGGCATTCAACATCAAGACCCCTGATCAGCCAGCCCATCTGCGGAGTAGGTCACATCCGTAAATTACAGGACATAACTTCACTCACTCGCTCGAAGTATTCCAAGACAGTCTCGTCAGATCCTTCTTTGTAAGTGGAATTGACGGTTTTATCCGTCACGTCACAAAGTTTGAAAGTTCGGCCGCTATACCTTAGGAAAACCACTTTGTTCACCAATTCCGCTCTGACAGTATCTATAAATTCTCCCACTTTGTTGGCTCGCTGCAAATAAAAAGAGGTAGAATATTTCAAACACTCATAACCAGAATTCTGTAAGAAAACAATCGACATCGGATCAAATTTGCATTACTCGCTGTAAGAATTCTCGGAGTCTCACCTGGAGTCTCTTGTATGTTGCTTTCATGGCGTCTAGGACGGTATCCCTCCTCATAGACCGCTCCCTGATTTCAACATCGAGATAAATTCCACCTCGAAGTCTTTAAAGACGGGACCCGGTTGATGTTGAACTCGGGAATGTACTGGGCGGCACCCAGGTCATAGTAGGATCGTTTGATCATCGTCATCTCCAAAGCATGCAGTGACTTCCGCAAAATGTTGTTCGCGAAGTTGACGAACGATGGATCCGTATCATCCACGGTTTTGGTCCAGCGGTACTTCACCGTCACTGGAATAGCACCTTCTCGTGAGCGCCTGCTCAGAGGTATTTCTAGTTTCTGTAATAACAGATTTGAAAACATAACCCCAAAATGCGATAGCCGAATATCCCTCATCGGCGCTAACCCACAGGAAAATAGCCCATTTCTCAGCAACGTACGCGAGAAAAATCTAGTTCGATTAGGCAGATGTGTTCGGTAGGCTTTTGTTCGATCACCAGTGGAAAGCAAAACGTTGGCGGAAGTCTTCCTCACTTGTGGAATAATCTCACGTTAAAATGAATATCGGCGATAAAAAAAAATAGAAAAAGTTTCATACACTCCAGGAATTATTGAAGTACGGTAACATTACCGCAATCTGAAGAGCATTCGAACGAGTTACAAATTCCCTCTCAGCGTTTGATGCCTTCAACAAATCTTGAACCGCACAGAAAAAAGAAGAGGGAAGACAATTGAAAGACAATATCTGTACGGGTAACACATTTACAGTCCTGCATATCTACGAAATAGCGCTTCTAAAATTTCAGCAATTTGAGCTCAGATCAAACCGAGCGAATGACATGAACGAAGTTATGAAACATCCGTGCTTGTAGAAAAATAAAATATTTACCTTTGTGACTGGATCAACGAAGTCTTTCGTGGAGTACAGCGAATGGTCAGGGATAAAAACTCCGTTATGTATTTCCCTGGACTGATTCACCAACCATATCATCGTCCTCCGATCTTCAACGGATTCATCGAAATCAACGTGATACATGTGTATCAGGAACTTCGATCGGATCTTCATCCGTGACGCATTCGTCACGACTTTAAAGCGTTTTCCTGCAGACCCTGTCACGGAAAAAAATCAAATATACGATGAAAGAACTGGAACAGCACACTACTGCAAGTTTGAAAATATCAAGGTATGGATTTCAAGTTATTTTGCGGTATACCCATTCTTCGCAACCAGGACAAGGAGATGAAATTTTCCAAACGGATTACAACTCAGAACTCGAGTTTATCCCGTTTTCGATCTTTCCCATTCTTTTTAAACAATAGCCGTAATCAAACTTGAAATCGAAAAATTAAATTTCAGTAGTCTTGAAAGTTGAGTATTCGCGAGTGATTGAATTGCCGGAGAATGAAAATGACAAGTGGCATCAGCACTTCGGTTTTCCGGTTATCGGATGTTCAGGTTATTCAGCTTTTGGTCACCAAACGTAAACTTTTCACCTTGAAATATTAAATCCCATGTTTCGTGAGAACTCCGACAGTCTATCCGCTTGTAATTTTGACAATCGACACATTCAAGGTGGACTATCTACGATTTATTTTTGCTGCTGTACCATTGGGTTCTCTATCCAAGTTATGGGAGTTCTCTACAACATATTTTATCAGATCCCACGAGCTTTCGCTGTCTACCTGTGGCAGTTTTCCGATAGATTAGCAGCATGCTGTTTGCGGTAATTCATGGGAGGAAATTCAGCAATACAGTGGGTATCGTTGATCACAATACGAAAATAAAATGCACGTACCTTCCATCGCATCATGATCCGACGACGCCTGATCCATCAGATCTACAGCAGCATCATTCGTGAAAGCAGGTCCACCACCTCCCCCTCCCCCCCGTCCTCCTCTGAAGCCACCGCGGCCTCCACGATCAAATCCCCCTCGTCCACCACGATCATACCCCCCTCGCCCGCCTCTATCATAACCTCCTCCACCCCGACGATCATCATATCCGGATCGGCGATCATCGTGACCGCGGCGCCTATCATCGTAACCTCGGTCGTTGGAGCGATCGCGGTAAGAATCTTGTCCACCACGACTAGAATAACCGCCGCCTCCACGGCGGTCATCTGCACGATCAAACCTCGGTGCGGACGAGGAGGAGCCTCTATCCTGCCCCCATCGATCATCTATTCATAAGGAGAACGGATAAATTCGCGAACAATTCATATTTGCATGCAGCACTTACAAAAAGATCACCGGATTAAGGATACTATAAAACAATCCCGACTAATCTAGAATTCTGTACTGTACATCTTTTGTCCTTAATCTTGAAGGTCAAACTGACGGCCAACTTTCGAATAGGTTCTTGAGGGGATCCGCGAGAAATGAATAAAACCTCGACGAGACATCAATGGAGAGTTATCAATGATGTAACAGAAAAATACGGACACCAGTGATAAGTCATTCCTCAGCCAGACAAAAATAATAGAGGGTTTTAGATAATATGAAAAATAAATATATCTCGCTATACTTCTAGAGATCCTTTTGGTTTCGTCATTTATATTTACGAGTTGGAACCCAATGTGATTCAAGTCATTCAATATCTGCACGGCATTGGTTCATACGAAATTGGTTCGCAGATCGACAAAACTCACCTGGTCTTCCAGATCTGCCGCCTCCTCTATCTGAAAAGAAGATTGGAGAAAACATATGTCACAGAGAGAGAACAACATTGCTTCCGAAAAAGTTTCTTCAGCCTTACGGAGAAGCGTACGAATGTCGGAAGCCCCAAACCATCGTAGCAACACACGGACGGAAGTATTCAATGCAACCGCGGCTCCAAGCAATTCGGAAATCAATTTTCGCTCGCATTCCACGAGACATTTTACATTTACGAGCAGAAATCCTACCGTCCACCAATCGATAAATTTCCTACTTAGTGATTTCCGCGAAAATCTGAGCAGGATGTAAAGCGTGCCGAAAACAAATTCTGCATGTTACGGAAATGGATTCACTGTTCATTCGGCTCCTCAACGTCTCAACTAATACGCTTGGATGCTGAAACCTTTCTCCAAGCGAAACTTATAAAAACCAATGCAATATTTACCTCCACCACGCCTGTCGTTCGGGCTTCTATCCCTGTCCCTCCTGGGCGGACCACCGTCACCTCCTACAGAGTTCAGAGATCGTTATAAGGGAACATATACGGAACACAATATAATCTCAGGCTTACGGTCGAATCGAAAACCGGACATGATGAATCAGCAAATCAGCAAAACTCGGAGATGGTTTCTAAGATGATTTAAAAGACGCGCATAAATTCCGCTGCTTCTTCACGTAGCACCCGAGCCCAAAGGCTGCGATTCTTTTTTTTTTCTTCAACCGTAAGAGATCTGAGAACGAACCAACGAGACGAAGTCATTCAACTGCACAAGCCCCAGCATTACCAAAACGAAAACTCAACAGTGAAGAAAGGAATAAGATATACCTCCACTCCTCACATTGAATAAAATAAATCCAATAATCCCACCAAACAACGGTTAGCACAGCACACGTCAACCTCGCATTCCGCCCGAGTCTCAAAACGAAGTGCCGATCGTCACTCGCATCCCTGGTCTTTTATACCAGTCGCACCGGGATTCCAGTTTCCGAGTACTGTAGCATTCAACGAACATACCGCTTCGTACGTAGATTCATAGATGTCGTTATTCGTTAAGTGAGACAAATACCTCATTCGCAAATCGCAACAAGCTCAACACACAAATCCGCTAAGACCCAAACAAGGGAAGATTAAAGAACAGACGGCGCCGACTTTCATTTCGCTGGAGGAGTGAAAAAAAAACCAAGAACACCTCCATTGAGCTTGACTAATTCGCGTCCCTCACAGATTGGAATGCCGACAATCCCTCGCTCAAGAAGACGCGTCGCCACAATGCTCTGAAAAGGAACAATCGATCATTCAAAGATTTTCATACAAGCAGTCAGTCAAATGAGTCAATATTCACTTATGTGTATGAAAGTTAGGTTGGCCAAGTACTACCCAGGACAGTGTATTAGTTACGTAAAATTTACGACCAAGGTGGGGTGTTTTCATAGGTTAGTTTGCCCTTCGGTTGGATTCCTTCAACTTCGGATAGTATGCCAAATTAGTCATAATTAAGGCGCTTTGATAATACGTAATTTCAGCCCTGATTAAATGAGGTGGCGAACTTATATTACGGTTTTGTAATATTTACGTTACAGGCTAGGGTATATGTAATTCAAGTAAGAATAATTAGTTCACATCATTCATGACAGTTGATTGCTAAAGATAATTGTAGACGAGACAGGCTTTAGCGAAAATCCCACGGAGATTCCTCCTAATCTTCGGGGCCTCTGCAATTCGAGAAGTTGTGAGCCTGGGAAAGAGACAGCCCTGGGTTCCAGACAAATTCCAGGCAAAAACGTGAAGGACAACCCGCAAGTCTCGGAAGAAAAAATAGCTCATTACAATAATCCTGCTGGTGAAACTTCGGATACAGAACATCCAAAAATGGCTCCATGATGAAATCCCGTTCTCCTGAGGAAACCTGAGAAAAATGTAACCTTCATTTGGATCAAGACTTCTTCCCTGCATTTGTTTTATACGTGAACTGTTATCAGTTCTACTTTGCCCTCAGAACACCAATTCTTACATGAAAAAAAACCTCCTTTGATATCTACATATATGGTGATGGTCTGTAAATAATTTCTAAATCATCAAGTAAGTCTAAATGCAGTTATATAAGTATATTTTATCTCGTCAAATTTCAATTTCAATGTACAGCACATGATAAGAGAATGCAATTTTTTTTAATTCACCTAGCCATTAAACTTGACAAGATTCCCACTCAAAGGCCACAGAAGAGTAAACGCAGTTGGAAGGAAAACTCAAGAGATATCATAATTTCGTAATATACCTGATTGTCGTACCAACGGAATTTTCGGACCCTGCGAGATTTTTCGGCCTACGGGATTATCGGCCAAGGGGATTTTCGGGCCGGGATTTTTTCTCCTACCGGATTTTCTCCTGCACCTGGCTCCATGATGACATCCCGTACGAGAAAAAATCCCGCGCAGCCAAAAATCCCGTAGGTCCAAAAATCTCGCAGGGTCCAAATATCCCGTAGGTACGCAAGTCCCGATGAGTATTACAAAATTGTAACATTGTCTCTCGGTTTTATAACATCGTCTCCGGCTTTTGAACTATGGGGGCTTTTGGTTGGGTACCGATCGCGTGGGGTGCCCAACCAACTACTTCTACTTTTTCGAAAATTGTGTTTCCGTCCATGACGCGCAACCCATATCTTATGTCGATTTTTTGGTGCAAAAAAGTGCGTGTAGTACTCGAGTGCCGTACGTCATACACGGTAATTCTTCGAAGTACGGTCAACTCTTCTCATATGATTCACGCCGCTCCGGTAGAATTCGTCCTCGAAGAAATCGTCCTTGGTAGATTTCGTCCTGGGGACTGGGTAGAAATGGGCCTGGGGACAATTCGTCCTCGCGGGGGGAGGCGGGGCTACTCGCGGGGGTGAGGCGGGATGGGATACCCTCCCTCCATATTCTGGTCAGTCTTCCTGCAGACCAGGAGGAGTGCGCATATGCCTTGCACGAATTTGAAATCAGACAATGACTTCAACACCTGTATTTTTTTGTATCTGACAAAGGATGAACAATGGATGCAATTGTATTTATTTCTATTTCGGTTACATTTTGTAAAACCTATTATAGATAACCAAAATCTGCCAAGAAATTTATTTTATGCATAGTTCACACAAGGAATTTGGCAAACATCCACAATCCAGGAAATTTCATGGGGTTTTTGAAGTACAGTAGCTGATGGCAAATTTTGAAATATTGTTCGTTAGATTGGGTCTTGCTCACTGTCTCTGAGTGGCGCCAAGGAAGATCAAAAATAAATGTATTTACGGTGACATGAATAAATTTCATATTTCATTTATTTTTCCCCTGTGTTGTATCATTTAGTAATGGCCAAATGCACATCACATATCTTTCAGCAGCAAATCTTCCTAAAACACATGAGTGCAAACTACCAATATTCCATAAAGGCATGGAATTAGAAAAAAGTTTTTTCCAATTCCATTTAGGCATGGCTCTTCATAGCAGTTAACTGATTTTCCTTCCTATATTGAGTGAACTTTGTTTTTGCATTGTCTGATTTCAAACAATATTTTCTTGCATATCAGCAAAAAAGTTGCTGACAATTTAATTAAATTTGATGTAGAAATTTAAAAAACCTGCTTTCTTGTTGGAGTAATTTGAATACCCTTTCACTTCACCCTTGCGATTGAAATGTAATATTTCATTATACGGCATTTTACGAAACATCATGGGCTGCGTCAAGATTTATTTGTATTATCACATTTCCCAGGTTGCATCAATCCTCATACAATCTCTGTACATTGGACTTCTTATTGGGTTTCATCTTACCGTAAATGCATTTATTCTTGATCTTCCTTGGCGCCACTCAGAGACAGTGGGCAAGACCCAATCTAACCAACAATATTTCAAAATTCGCGATCAGCTACTGTACTTCAAAAACCCCATGAAATTTCCTGGATTGTGGATGTTTGCCAAATTCCTTGTGTGAATTATGCATAAAATAAATTTCTTGGCAGATTTTGGTTACCTAAATAGGTTTTACAAAATGTAACCAAAATAGAAAAAAATACCATTGCATCCATTGTCCATCCTTTGTCAGATACAAAAAAATACAGGTGTTGAAATCATTGTCTGACTTCAAATTTGTGCAAGGCATATGCGCACTCCTCCTGGTCTGCAGGAAGACTGACCAGCATATAGTAAGGGCCATCCCTTACCCCAACGCGCGACATCTAGGGAGGAAAGGTAGAACCGCGCTTCTCAGGTGCACTCCACGTATCGGACCACGTGTCGGACCGCGTGTCCGGTTCCCGTTATCTTGAGGGAGATCAGGGGGACGCGTGCGCGGAGGAGCGGAACGAGACAGTGCGGCGTCACTCTAGTCTGAACTTCTGACCTGAACGTTTTATTGAATCTTTGACTGATTGATACTGTGACTGTGTTTGAGAAGAATATACTTGTGTGTGTTAAAACACGAGTTGAGTCTGTCCACCAAGGAATAACCTTATTATATGGAGGGAGGGTATCCCATCCCGCCTCCCCCTGCGAGGACGAATTGTCCCGAGGCCCATTTCTACCCCAGCCTGGGACGAGGACCAATTCGACCGAGGACGAATTCTTACGGAGCCGATTCACGCCCATCAATTTGCTGACGCTTCAAAACATCACACAGCTTCGCTTCGAAATTCACCTTCTAGCAAAAGCTATCATGCACACTCCAGATTAAAATGGGGGAGATAGATTGTTCGAAATCCCTATGGACTTATCCACACATACCCCCATTGAACATTAACCCAAGCGCTGAGAAACGAAGAGAAGTGGGACTTTCTACCGGTTTTCATTCGCATTTTCTGGCAGTCGGATTTATGATTTTTTCCAGTTGTCCGCCATGCTCACAAATGAAGGTGAAAATAATGGAAACGTTCTTTTCAATTACGGTTGATCCTTGATAACTAGAACCCATCTTAGTCGAATTTTGGTCAAGTTCACAACTGAATTCCCTTGGTAACAACACATTAAATATTTCTTCAACTCAAACCCCTATCCTCTCAAACCTCCATAACTACAATTTTCTGAAGCCTTTTGGCTATCATTTTCTTGACAAAAGAAACTGAAAAAAGGAATTTCATGTGTTTTGAAAGGAAGTGGAAGTCTGAATTGGGCAAATCACCCCCTGATTCAAAGTTCAGCAAATTGTCAACTCTCTTGAGCAATTTGAGGCCCACAATAACACTAGATAATTTCCTGCTACTTCAATTAATTTATCCGAACAAAAATGCATCTTTCCCCAACTCAAAACCTGCCCAAGTCGAATGTTTTTACTGGTCCCTTGAAATTTGACTTACAGAGGTTTGACTACAGGATGATTTCACTCCAAGTAAAATATTCTGAAGTATGGGATAGGATAGATAGATAGGATGGCAGGTCTTCAGCTGCATGTGGCAGCAGTCATCAGGTGACCACCACATGCAGCACCTTTTTGAGATGACATTGTAAAGGAAGTCTGTGCTCTTGAGACATTTTGCATTTGTCAAGGGGTTCCAGATACCAGTACACCACAGGATGTGAGAAGTTGGTCAAAGATAAGGTACTTGGTGGCATTTGTCAGCTTCTGGTCATTTGTGTGCAATTTTGCCTTGAGAGTGAACATTAACTTGGCCATAGTGGAAATGGTGGTGCCACTAAACAAAACCCTTAGTCTCAGTGATGAATGTGGAAAACCAAAANGATACCAGTACACCACAGGATGTGAGAAGTTGGTCAAAGATAAGGTACTTGGTGGCATTTGTCAGCTTCTGGTCATTTGTGTGCAATTTTGCCTTGAGAGTGAACATTAACTTGGCCATAGTGGAAAAGGTAGTGCCACTAAACAAAACCCCTGGTCTCAGTAATGAATGTGGAAAACCAAAAACGAAGACTTCCATTGCATACACGGAGGTGAGGGTTGATCTGACATTAGAAAAAGTCAGACCTTTTCGGTAGCTTGGAATTTGTTTTCCCTAAAAGAGAAGAAATGCCATCTGGATCTAAATGCTTCAAAAATTTGAATAGATTCTGCTCAAGAATCCAAATGACACGTTTACCATACAGTACTAAATTCTTGAATGCTTGCAGTAATTAACAATAACAAATGCCTGTTGCTTCCCCTGAATCAAGGATAAGGAATGAGGTGGGGTGTTATTCTCACAGGGGACTGATAAGTTTGCTTGGGATGAAAGCACCCAGTCCTGGATTCTGAGCTCGGTTTTCATTGGATACATCACAACCCAGCTTTTGGGAGGCAGGTTGGCAGGTGATTGACTACATTCTGTACATTGTATGTATTTTCTGTCATGGGAAAATTTCCAGAAATACAATTTATCCCTTAAATAAATATAAAGATCACAAATGTATGAACAGTACAGGTTTTGCAGGATGTCGACTGATCAGAAACAATCTCGTAAAATTAGTCTAGCAAGAAATGCATGAACCACGCCAAATTATAGCTCTATATTTTTGAAAATGTTGCCAAGATAAGAAACATACATGAAAACAAAACGGACATCAACCGAACACTACTCTATAATGTTTGGGTCAAATCTGTCCACACCATTTAATGCCAGAAAATCCCCCTCTCGCATATGTACAGTACTCCCTTCTCTTGGGAAAAAAATTTTCAAGTACTGTACAAGTGCACTTCATCATTTGCTCAATCAGATACATTTATAAAGATCAAAAATGAAGTTTTGTTCTATCCAGAAAAACATTGATTTTTTCAAAGATACAATTGTTGTACAGCATTGTGCTTTGAACATTACAAATAATTAAAACATGTGGGGGTGAAGACTAGTTTTCTAAGGTCAGGGGATTTACAATTCTACCTTATTTTGCAGAACGTTTTGGGGGGAAGTTGGTCCTCGGCGTACCGATGCTGTTGGCTGGGCTGTTATCCCTACTGACACCAGTGGCTGCCAAGAAGCTTGGGTCCACTGCAGTGATGGTACCAAGAGTTTTGATTGGCATGGCTGAGGTATATTCTCAACATTACGGTGTACTCACCCATGTCTTGATAGAAAATTTTACTACATATCTCACTAGGGTGTTACATTCCCTGCCATGCATGTGATCCTTTCAAACTGGGCACCACCCTTGGAAAGAAGTAGAATGGTTACCATGGTGTATGCTGGTGAGTCAACGTTATTTCAAATGTTCTGAATTGTCTCTGGCACTATAATGACATTTTGTAGGCTCACCCATGGGAACTATACTAACCCTAGCACAAGGGGGAGTCATGATGCGGGCTTGGGGTTGAGAGTCAATTTTTTATTTCTATGGAGGACTGACAGTGATATGGTTTGTAGCTTGTTTCTTCCTTGTGTCAGACAGTCCTGAAAATCATCCTTACATATCAACGGAAGAGAAATTGTTCATCCTGGCAACTCTGAGCAAGGAGAAGAAGACAGTTATGCATCACTTCTAAACCTTAACAAGAAAAAGACATCATGAACTTGACTTCCTTTAGATCTACCTTACATATCAACGGAAGAGAAATTGTTCATCCTGGCAACTCTGAGCAAGGAGAAGAAGACAGTTATGCATCACTTCTAAACCTTAACAAGAAAAAGACATCATGAACTTGACTTCCTTTAGATCTTAACCATGCCATGGAGGCAAATTTTGACATCAGTTCCATTTTGGGCGCTACTGGTGACTCACATGGGACACAACCTGGGTTACTGGATGCTCTTAACTCAGCTGCCAACTTACATGAACAATATCCTTCATTTTGAAATCCAAGAGGTCAGCAAGGCCCGTCAAAACATTCCAGAAGGTTTAAAAAGATATATCTTGTACTTCAAAGAACGGACCCCTCTCTGCACTTCCTGATGTTTTGCTGTTTGGATGGACCCAGATACATGCTCAAATCATGGACTATTGCAGGTCCAAGAAGATTTTGTCAACCACAGCAGTCAGAAAGATCTCCAACACATTCGGTAACATTCGTGAAGCTATGATATGGACAACTCAAGTCATGACAACTCTTATAGAAAATAGTAATTTTAAAATGCAATGATGCCTAAACCTCCAATAACATCAGTTTATAGTGAGCCTTACAAAAGAAATTCAATGGCATTCACAGTAAAATTAATATGAAAAATAAATTGTGTCTCATCCCAACAAGTACAATTTCACTGAAAAAATTTAGAATCCTGATCAGGAACCAACCAAACGAACTACAAGAAAGAATTCTTCGAAATCGAGTTCATTCACCATTGTTCCATAACATCATAAAATCATTAAAGATGGAATATGCATTTGGAGGCTGCTTAGAAAGGTTGTTCGTTTGGATTGGAATCAATTGAATGCAATGAGTAACATTCAGCGCAAGCATAATACAGTGCTTATGAAGGTTATCAAACGTAAATACCGGCACATTCACATATAGTTAAGTACTGTCGCAAATTAATTCAGTTGTTCAAATTTCATTCTTAATGAACTATTTTCAAGGTTACTGCAATGAAGTCACTCCGCTACTTGAGTCATGGTACTGTATAACGAATATAGGTGGACTCACTCAAGAAAAAAAATATGAAGGTGTCAGAAAAAAAGTTGAAGGGAACCACAACTAAACATGATGAAAGGACCCCAACAAACCAGATAACAATTCCTTAGACAGTACAGAGAAGATTGTTCTGTTAGAAATCGCTGTAGGGAGACTGCCTCTACAGCGTTGCAGCGGATGTTTCTGCTTGTTCTAATAGCTTTGTTGTAACCGGATTTTTTACCGGATCATATTTTTTCATCATCCTGACAGGATGCAGAAAGCTCAGTAGTTCATAAATAAAAGAGTCTGAGTATGTTTTAATATTGGCATTGATGGTAACGTGTTCTTCCTAGCACAAGGAGGATCAGCACTGTGTCTCATAGGAGCAGCCTATGTTGGTTGTTCAAGAACCATGAGTGTGGTTCTCTTTTGCATTGCTGGGATTTGTCAAGGAATTTGTCAAGGCTGTATTTACTCAGGGTACGTGGCCAATCATCTAGACCTTGCACCACAATTTGCAGGTGAAGTATTCTGAACAATGAAACATGAGAATCATCTCAATTGTCATGCACTGTTTCATTACGGGAACACTCCCGGGATTAACAAATACAGCTGCTTCTGTAACTTCATGGACAGCACCACTGCTTGCTGGGTCAATCACCAAAGATAATGTGATGCATATTCGTTAAGCATCCCTAACTTGAGTCAAGTAACCCATTCATCGATATTTTCCAGCAAACAATAAGTGCTTGGAGAACAGTTTTCTGGATTTGCGCTGCAGTTATGCTTTTTGATGCCATTGAATACCTCGTCTTTGGCAGTGGGGAAGAGCAAACATGGAACAATCCTGAGGCTACGGACACAGCACTAGCAGTTTTTGAAAATTCAGCGCGTACGAAAGATTCAGATTGAAACTACACTTGAAAGATCTTCGGCATACTTTTCTGTTGAAATGAACTAATAAGGCATTCCTTGTGAAGTAATTCAAATTCAATTTTTTTCATGGGAGGTTTGCTACCTCAACTGGAAGAAGACGTATTGTGGGATGGGTCTTGAAGGAATTCTCAACTGCTAATGTTTAGTTGATGAACACTTTTGGAAGCTATGCACAGCTGCAGGCAAGAAAGCCAAATTGACAGGTGCATTAATTTTTGATTCGTTACAAAAAACTCATCAAGGAAAATGCGAAATGAACACAGAAGCTTTGCCTCTTTTCATTTTTGAAATGGGTGAAATTCGGAAAGTTGAGCGCACAAGTTTGCCAGGATTCCTCAATAACAACACTGATCAACTCTATCTTGTCCATTCTACGTTGAAACTACCAAAGGCAAATTCGTGAGTTTATCTTAGTCTTTTCTCATCTGGAACGAATAACATAATTTGAAATGCTTGTTTCAATTATTGGTTACGTATGTATCTCCAAGGGAAAACGCGTCGTACATTACGGTAGTTCCTCACATGGAGACATAAACAAGCTTTGTAAACCGGGACCCACTGTAATAGGATATGATGAAAGGTAACACAGAAGAGCACAAAAGCTCAAATGATGGGCTGACTTCATGTCCGCATTTGTGAACCGGATTCATGTAGGACAATCCGGAATCTGTCACCCACGAACACGGACTGCCTTGAATAATTATCGGGAATCTCTTCCGTTCTCAAAATGAATGTTAAAAATGATACGGATGGCTCATGAATACCCCGGTTTAAGTGTGAGCTGTGTGACCAAATAAGATAAGTAAATACCTTTAGTTGGAGGAGTTTTTCGAATACCCTGACAGTCAAATCCACGTGTTCTGATTCCTCGACACAACTTCATGAGTCATCCTCACCGTATCCACCATCACTGGTGAAATCCTGGACCACAGCAGTTTTCCAACGCCCTTTTCACCATCAATGGTCGTCAGCTTCCGAAGGAAACCCAGCAGAACTGGAAGGGTGGTTCGAAATGAAATCAGCAAATATGCCTTTCAATTGGAACTGGTGAAGGCATTGCTTTGAATTGATGCCAAGTCTATTTCAAGAATATTGGAGGAGTTGCTGGCAATTCTGGCATAGAAAAAAAATCTGCAAGATGCGTGCCACATCTTTTGAGTTGAGAGCAGAGCTGCCAGGATGACTTCTGCAAAATTTTACATAAAAATATGTTGAACAGGACAGTATTTTCTGTTTGCCAGAGGATGTAACTTCCGAAAAATATTTGTTTTCATTCTGATCACAGGCTGTTACAACTTCACATCTGAACTTTCGTTTGACCTTGGGTGTTGAACATTCTCAGTTCCATAAGTCACCAACTGTGATACCATTGGCAGTTTATGGAGGAAAAAAGGGGTGGACAGCCCTATGGGAATCGGAAAAATCATAGCGGTCTATGGAGATTACGCCATCTTTCGAGCATTAGGCAGACTTGTTTTCCAAAAATTTATGGTGGGAACCGAGGGTGGCGGTTTAACGGCGTTTGACTGTACATCTGTACTTCACCCTGCATAAAACTTCCATTTTCTCAAGACTTTTGCAACATACCTCAAGATGAACAGCACACCCCTCTACTCATTTCAAACCCCATACACGTTAAAGGTTATGTGCAAGTAAATTATGAACATCAATGAAAGGTTGACTCTCTACAGCAAAATTCAACCACCAAGAAAATACTTGCTATAAACCCCCATAGAGTGGAGAGAAGACCTTACATCAGCTGAAATGGTTTTTTAGCAGAAATATTGTAAGAGTTCATCATTTTTAGTTTCTTACATGTCCTGATGGCTCCATGATAAAATCCCGTAGGAGGAAAAAAATCCCGCGGCCCAAAAATCCCGTGAGGCCAATAATCCCATAGGCCGAAAAGTCCGACGGAGTCCAAAAATCCCAGGTAAAAAGATTTGGTATACAACAAATTTCTGATATTACCTGTAAGTTTTCTTTCCAACTGCCTGGGAGGAATGCGAACAGCGTGGATTATGAAGTGGGGAAAGTGCAAGGGATTTCTTTCCAAGAATTTCCAACGTTTAGGAATTACCTTTGTCAATAGAGCCTCAACTTCACTTCCTCAGCACCTTTCTCCTGAGGAAACCTGAGAAAAATGTAACCTTCATTTGGATCAAGACTTTGTCCCTGCATTTGTTTTGTATGTGAACTGTTCATTTTTTTTTTTAGTTCTACTTTGCCTTCGAAACGTGAATTTTTACATTAAAAAAACTCCCTTGATATCTACATATATGGTGATGGTCTGTAAATAATTTTTAAATCATCAAATAAGTCTAAATGCAGTTATACAAGTCTATTTCATCTTATAAAACATCAATTTCAATGTACAGCACATGATAGAGCATGCAATTTTTTTTTATTCAACCAGCCATTAACCTTAACAAATTCCCACCCAAAGGCCACAGAAGAGTAAATGCAGTTGGAAGGAAAACTCGAGAGATAATATCCCAATTTTGTTATATACCGGATTTTCATACCTATGGGATATTCGGACCCCCCGAGATTTTTCCGCCTACGGGATTATCGGCCTCACGGGATTTCCCGGCCGCGGGATTTTTTCCCCTACGGGAATTTCTCCTGCACCCGTCCTGACAGCAGGAAGTTGTAGAACAGATAATTTTAGAGCCAGGAAGTTTTGAGGTGAGATTTAAATTACAGTAGAACCTCTCAAAGTCAAATTTCTAGGGAGCAGGAAAATAATTGACTTAGGAAGGCTTTGAGTCAAGGAAACAAACAGTTTTGCTGAAAGAAAAAGTAAAAATATAAAATAAGTGGGAAATTATAGGTGAGGATATTTTGGGAAACTTGCCTTTCAATAAGTTGACAGCTTGCAGAACTTTGAGGCAGGGGTTCATTTTTTCAATTACTCTTCCCCTTCATTTCAAAATACATCCTATCATTTGTTTTATTCAATAATATCCAAATGGCCTCAAAATATTTTACTTACAGAGGATTGAGAAAAAAAGACTTGAGTTAGGATGGTTTTAATGCAATGTTTCTGAAGGAATTCAGAGAAGGACCCAAATGAAGCAGTTATTTGACTCACCAGGGTTTAACTCGTCAAGGTTCAACTGTAAGTGGTCCCAAAGGACAGGAGATCAGTCAGATTTGATTATGGAGGTTGCATTGGATACAAACTGAAATTCCTTATATTCATAGGTAATGAAAAATGAGCAACGCTAGTTGTTGAATACACTGTAGAACAGTTTTCCCCAACTTTTTCGGGACCAGGGACAGGCAAAATTTAATTTCATTGCTCCTAGACCAGCAAATTCCCCAAAATTCATCTGCGGACCAGCGAAGTTTCATAAAATGTTCATAGACCCCAAAAGTTTCTCTTCAAAGGCTCACCACAGGTATTTGAAAAATTTCAGCTTTTACTTCAAAGGAGAACCAATGAAGCAGCAATGAAGTGAAAAGTCTCCAAAAACTTAGAAAGGTGCGCTCAAAGAAAGGCTTTTTGAAATCAAAAAAACTAAAATTGATCATTCAAGCATATGAAAATTTGGCTGAAGTGTTCAGACTCAGAGGAAAGCAAACTTTTTTCTCATCAGATAATTTCAAATACCATTATTTTTACAACACTTCAGAAAACGATAACATACAGTACTTCATTGCTACTTCTGATGAACTCATTCCGCTGCAGAAAATCTCCCCCAGACCAGCAAAAATCTTCCATAGACCGGCACTAGTCCCCGTACCACTGATCGGGGAACACTGCTGTATAAAATTCCAAGATTCATCAACAACTACAGCAGTTCTTAGTGTATTCAGTACTGGCCTTTTACTCAGCTGACCTTCCTCACTGGTTTCTGTTTCCAGGTCCGGATCAAGTGCAGGTGAAGCAAACTCGTTCTTACTGGCTTCGCTTTCAAGAACTTCAACCACGTCACCCCAGGAAGACGTGTCGAACCAAGCAACCATTGCAGCTTCGTATCATCAGCAGACGCGTGGTTTCCGTCATAATCCGTTCCGGTTTGACAGCCAGACCTTTCGATGAAAGATGTCACATGAAAAAGTATATCCCAAACTTACTCAGTGCAGATGATCAGGTTCCCTTAAAGTGAGAGACCGACATCAGTCGTTAACTTGCGAAGGTTCATAACAGGAGGTTTCATTTGTCGTTTCGACTATCTCGCAGTTCACCTCATTCTGTAGGCAGACGGCAAAACACGTTTTCAAAGTTAGGGAGGTTTTATAAAGCCTTTATAAACTTGAAAACGAGTTTTGATGAATTCGCCTGCGGTGGTATACTACATTGGGCAAACCTGTTCTGTAGGCAGACTGGAACATAAGTACTGTACCTGCTTCCTGACGGGAATCAAAAGCTTCTGAAGCAATCTCATACATTACGACGCCAGTGAAACCGAACAGAATTTCCCTCAGGAGAGATTTCACGACGAATATTTTGCAATGAAACGGGGGAAAGTCATTCCCCAATACCCTCGCAACCTTAAAATTCATTGTCATTGTCGCCAAGTTCATAGTCAGGGTCAGCCAATTTCTGGATGCTATAGAAATCTTACATCTAATCCGAATAACAGATCCTACCACACGCATAATTCAGGAAGAACATTTTCCAGTTCGGTGTGCGGTGGAACTTCAAGGGACTCGCAAAAAATTCGAGTTTGGAAGATTACCAGTAAGAGAAAAGGGCATTTCCGTTCAGGGGAGAGAAGAAGATGAACAGAAAATCAACACTGATGATATTCCGGGCTTGAAATTGCTTCTTGCAAGAATTGACAATGCTGAGCTTAGGAACAAAGATTCATTTGCTCAATTAGTCTCCCACCTCAATTCAAGGCACAGTGAGTTACATTTCTGTGTCAATAAGCAAAAAAGGCTTCCAGAAAATTTGAGCCATGGAGGTTCGAGGGAGAAGCCTTCGAGCTAGGCAGGCTTCTAATGCTTTGATTCCAAGAGAAGTAAAACTGAGAATTGTGGAAAATACAAAATGGGGAGGTTCAAGTTATAAGGTTTCACCGCTTTTCAAAGAAACCCTCCAGGCAACAGAAGTACATTACCCGAATAACAGATGATCATATTCACCACAAAAATTTACTGAACCATGTACTAGTGTCTCCCATCAGCACTACGGTATCCACCGCGCATTCCGACTTTTGATGACTTTGTCTCCAATTCACATCTGAGTACAATTCATGCGGCACATGGTAACCCTGACGCAAAAATGACTTCCTCAGATCAACAGCAGCAATGCACAGTAAAATGGAGAATTCCCAGAAATGACTTACTACGCACATGAAACCCCACCCCCATCAAGGAATTAAAGTTTTGCCGTAGCGGTTCCACCAATAGTACCTCAACCGTGTGATCAAAACCTAGGATGCATTCAAGTATAACCGTTGCAACCCCAGCAATTATCAGAACACGAAAATTACTCAATTTCAAACGTCAAAAACTGAAAAGCGAAGTACATTGACACGGACTCCTAACCCACGCACATCTTCATCAGATGTCGACACGTGCAACAATGTTTCACTCGGCTAGACGTGCTCGACACTCGTGCTCACGCCCGAGTGAACTGGGACAAAAGCTAGTTCTGTTGATATTCGCGAGGAGGGGAACACCCCCTGCCCCTAGACTCTGAGACATTACACGTAGGCGAACATAAAAAGGGTGAACCCAAAGTATCTGACATTTCCCTTCTCAATTTCAGCAATGCTGACCTGGTATCGATTTCACTCATTACATTGGCGCCGCAAGATGGCGTGCGCGAAAAGATTAAAACGTCTTCCGGTTTATTCTGAACAGACTGATCTCGGTTGTTTAGATATGACTAAATCATTTTTACAAACAAACATTTGTAAGTTTCAGATCTTCCAACAACCTGAATTACAAATTCCCACAAAATAGCGAAGTCCATGAGAGGCGGGGGCACTCGAACTGCAGTGTAGTTACTCGAATACGGACAGACAGTTAGACAAAATTTAGATCTTTACGCATACGGCAATTGAATAAACATCTAATAAACAATCAGGAGGATATCCATGGTACACCACAGGTTGATGCCCTAATAGGAGATTTTAAGGGATATTGTACACAGTACAGTACGTCCCCACGAAACGACACCGAAGGGTTACCGCAATTATTGATCGAAATTGAATTTTTTGAAGACAAACCACAATTTCCATCAGGTTTAATCGTGAAATTAAATTGGTTCTGGATATCAACTTACTATAAGACTAAAATAAAACTCGTAACTGGGATAATTTTCCTAGTTTTCAGCAAAAAATTTCGTATTTCGGTGTGGGTATTACTGTATACATTCCAGTAACCCGAGGGAGTTTCTGATCAGGACTTTTCTCAATTTCACGATTTCTAAAATCAAGAAGCAAAACTATGCTCTCCTTGAAAAATGTCGATGTTTCACCTCGGAACATTAGAAATGCGATCATTTCTCAACCACAAAATGTTCGACACATATTACAGATGTGTGGTGGAGTCACTTCGTTACCTCACCAATTTTTGTTTTGCGGTGTTTTTCGTTTCCCCGCGTCTTACGGAAACTCATTGCTCACTGTCGGTCGACATTCACAGCTTTCTAACCCCTTGCTTAATAAGAAGCCTCATACCCAACTGGTTTCCTCCCACACGAACACAATG